TATAAACTAAAATAATATTTTTTTTTCACATCAAACCAGTCAGCAGTACTTCTAACTTATAATCACCATCGTTTCGGCCGAAACGAACGGGCCGATGGTTCGTTCCTTGTGGTGGGCTGGGCGCCGTACGTAAAAACGCCAGCCCGTACTGCAAAAACATAATGGTGGGGGCAGGGGCAGGGCTCACTCAGATTTTGAATTGCGTCCCTGTACGTACACAGCTACGGGAGGAGAGGAAGGGGAGCAAGCAGAGCACACGGAGCAGGCAGCTGTGCGGCTGATCTGATCGGACCGCCTGTGCTTTAGTGCACCAGCCAGCTTCCAGGTCGGCGGACAGCTGCCCGTGCCTCTAGCTCCGTCCGTAGCTCGCGCGCCCACCCTGCCTGCCCGATGCGATGCTAGTAGTATGTTCTGCACTTCTGCTCCTCCCTCTCGTTTGGTTTCCCATAGGCACTGCCACTAGGACTAGGCGCAGGAGTGGCCCGAGTAGGCATAGGACTAGGAGCGAGACGGATGGATCCAGTAGGCGTCGCCGTCAGTCTCCGTCACACTGGCGTGGCCAGAGGGCAGATCCGAGCCTGAGACTGGGTTTGGGCTTGGGCAACGGCAACGTGACGGATCAGCCAACGGCAGGTGCAAGCCAAACAACCTCTCGCTGCCTTCCTGCAATGCGGAGTAAAACCGCCCTGCTTCACCTGCTCATCTCCATCTCCCTAGTCCCTAGTAGCTTTCTCCTCTTGGTAACCTCACGTCTCTAGTGATACATGAGCTATCACTGGCTTTAATAAAGATAGAAAAGAGAGAGGTCACAGCAAGCAGCTCTGACAATCGAGCCGTAAGAAAGATGCATCGTGAGATTATCTCTTGACTTTTGAGTCCACGCCAGTTTCTTACTTTTTGCACTATTCAGTGATTAAGAAATTGATACGGCTAGCTCTAAATTAGACACACATGCCATGCACAGCTCATATGTACGGAAGCTCCTCATTAATTGTCAAGCACGACTTTAGAAAAAAAAAACTTAAACCTTTTTTTATAAAAAACAGAAAGATCCGGCCACCAATAAACAATAATAATTATTGATAATAACAATAATAGTCATTAGATCTATTCTGTTTTTAATAACCATATTTATTGTTATTAAACAACATAAAGTAACGCCTAAATTTACATCTAAATTACTGAGCTATGTTATTATAAAATATAACACAAAACAACTCTCTAGATTTATATCTAAAATTACCCACACATACCATCATGAAACATATTCTCAAGTAGTAACTCCGAAATTTACATTTGAGTACTTTGTCGTGACGCAGTAGGGTCTAGAGGGGTAGTGAGTGAATAGACCTAATCTAAAAAAATAAAATCAAAACTTGCGGTGGAATTAGTACACTAGACTAGATGTTTTGTTTCAATCGGATGTTTTATGCAAACCGGGTGTCCGGTCATTCTGAGAATAAGCTGTCTACAAGAACTACAAATTTGTCCTACAAAATTTGAACTTACTTTTTACCAGGACCTCTAGTAGATGTGTAGATATGTCCTCACTAGCTCCCTACACTTAAACTTGCTCAAGTAAGTATATCGGGTAAAGTTTCCACATGACAAAAAAAAAAAGCTTTAGAACACAAAAAACATAAGGAAAAGGAATGTCTATGTCCTCGTTGTTTAAGAAGCCACCAAAGCTTTGTCCCTTTCAACCCTATCCTCTTCTCAAGCGAAACACCAAGATTAAACTTGATGATTCTTGCTAGATTTTGTCAAGGTGAGACAAACTCTGTAGAGCACTCGCACGAGAAAATGATGGGTGTTTCGATGGGCAACTCCTTGCCCACAAGGATTCCATAGAGTCAAATAGTAATAAACTCAAATCCAAACCTTGAAGGAGTCTCTAAATGCTCAAAGGATGGGAAATTGAACTATTAGCACTCAAATCTCTCAACTCAAGCAAGTCTCTCTCAAACACGCACCTCAAATCCTCCAAGAATCAAACACTAGAGTAGGAGAGGGAGAGATTAAATGTGCCTATCGTTGTTGGCTCAAAGTATGTGAGGAGGTTATGAGGGATGGAGTAGAGAATTATATATACTCAGCCCAAAATCCAACTGTTAATGTGTAGACTCGTGTATTATCGGACCTCCAATAGGGTTATCAGATGTCTAATCCTATAGACAAAACGTGCACAAATATAGCTCGAGACTGGATCTCCGATGATGATATATATCCGATGCTCTGAATAAAGACCCTAGAACAGACCTCCAATCCATTAGGGTATGTACAATCCGTGAACGCTTAATGGGCTCTTAAAGAAAGAGAATAATCAAACAATTGTGTAAGAGCCTTAACCTACAATGGAAAAAGCTAAATTTACACGCTAATGTGCTTATCCATCCTTAAAACCATCACTTTTTAAACTATAAAATCACCAAGTGCCGGCTGCTTATTTGAGCGTCGATGCCACTGCTAAGCGCCTGGCCACATGTATACGGTGGCAATAAAATAAAATAAAATGCAGAACCTCTGAGTAGCTCCGCTCCAAACGCCGGCGTTGTACCTGGCCTTAGGTGTCTAAAGTTCTAGACAAAAGACCTCAGAACACCCTATCTACTTTTAGAGAAAATAGCCAGGGATATCTCTCGAGGTTAAGTTAGTGACCTTTTGAGCATGGAGACACCTACAAGAATATAAATTTAAATACACCTTTATGACATTCCCTATAATTCAAATTAAAAAAGGAAATAGATCAAATCTTTCCACACAAACCTTTTTGATGTCATATCGTATTTGACATGGGAATTGGGGGCACACTAACCGTCAAATAGACTTGTTTCATAGTTGCATAACATGTTAAGAACTTATAGAAGCGTTAGCTCTTTGAATGCTTGTCATTAGTCCACCAAAACCCACAATGGGGTTAGGTGCACTTCAATATTCTCCTTTTGGTGATTGATGACAACCCAATCAAAACTTACAAGTAATGTGTCGTGGGTTCATTACCACGACAAGTAGCTAGAATGTCAATGCGTGGGATTTGATGGCCTAACATTTGAGGCAGTGAAGGATTTATCCTGATTTGAGCTCGAGCCCTGCATCTAGCACAAGTTTTATGTTCAAGCATTCAAGAGAGGGTTACAAAGAGAGCAGGGGAGAGAGATGAGTGAGCATAGGTGTAGGAGCTCGAAGCTGTGTCCTGCTTTTTGGCGCCCCTTTAAAACTACATGCATAACCTACTAAAAAGGTGTTCTTGTATTTAATATTTGCACTTTCAAAATAAGAAACAGTAAAGTCTACTAAAATTAGTTAATCCATGATCTAGAAGTTCATTTATTGTGAGACAAAATTTAGATGATAGAAGTACACTAGATAGACCTTCAATTTTTATTTTTACAATATTCATTATTTTAATTAAAGAGTGAATATCCAAGATTCGAAGTATAGAAGAGGGGACAAATATGCCTAGTGCACATAATTGGCTTTGATCTTTTTTTTCTCAGTGTATATAGAGCATACTCAGGGGTAGATCCACAAATATGTAAAGGCCCGGTGACCGCCATACCTCCTCGCAGGTGAACCCCCCTCCCCGTGCGCCTGCTATCAGCTCTCCATTGTTTGATTTCATCTTTGAGTGATGTTTATGATAAATTATTAACAAAAAAATCATCTCTAATATAATTAGAATGTCATTTATGAGATTGTGATATGGTTTATTCACATGTACATACACAAATATTATTTTTATATAATCTTTTTGTCATATAAACTAGTGGCTCTAAGTTCGTCGTAGGTGGATTTTTGTTCTGGATTCGCCACTGAGTATACTCACCATGATCAAGCATAAATTTTGACACAAATGTACTAACACGCTATAAAGTTTACAACCCGTAAAACATCCATCCAGGTGAGTTTTTTCTTTTAAAAGAAAAGAAAAGAAAAGAGCGCAAATTTAAACGGGCTGACCCTCATGCATGTCCCCAATCTCACCCTTTCGTCCTCTGTTCATCCTGCAGAACGCCACGCTACTCCTGGTAATAAACTAATAATGGAGTACTCCTACATCTCTCTGTTTTTTTTTTGGATTAAACGTTATCGTTTGTCTACTCTACCCCTTTGCAAGTCATTTTAGGGCTCATTCGATTGTTGGAATGAGGCCAGGATTGATTTATGCTATTCAATTACTATATAAATTTGCCTGTCGTTCCAGGTGGGAATCTTCCATGCCATGATTCTGGGAGAAACGAATAGGCCTTAAGCCCTGTTTAGTTCAACCAAAATTCAAACTTTAAAAAGAAGATTCTCCGTCACATCAAATTTACGGTACATGCATAGAGTACTAAATGTTGACGAAATCAAAAACTAATTGCACAGTTTAATTGTACTTTACGAGACGAACGTTTTGAGCCTAATTAGTCAATATTTGGACAATTATTACCAAATAAAAATGGAAAGCTACTGTAGTTACAGTACCTCCATGAAATCCGGCGCCGCCGAATTGGAGACCAACTAAACGTGGCCTTAAAGGAGTTTCCGCTTGCACCCTTGCCATTCCCTGTTTTCACCGGCGCCATCGTTACGGCAAGTCCACGACGTTCCTGCCGCGACATTACTACAAAACCAAGCCCCCGTCTCGCAAGTCTCTCTCCAACTCCAACCTAGCACAACCCAGGCCACACCGTCTGCCTGCAGCCAGGCCAGCTGCCTGCCTGTTGTCGTCTGCGGCGCGCCGCCCGCCCGCGCGCCGCCCCGCCCGCATCGGGATCCCCAGAGCAGCTCTTGGCATAGGGGAATGTCCCGGGTGAGCCACCGTCGCCTCTGCAGCACAGCGAAAGCCCCAGGTCCGCGCCAGACAGAGCCAGCACCCAGCAATGGCTGCTGCTGCTGCTCCTATATAGCGGGGGGCCGGGGCCGACGTTCGTTCGCTCGATCCAGTTCTGACTTCTGACTTCCTTCCTGAGCGAGGAGGAGGAGTGGTGTGCTGTCCGTTTCCTGTTCATCCGGCAATGAGGCCCGCTGGCGGTTGCCGCGGGAGCGGGCTGCTGGTTCTCGGCCTCGCGCTCTCGGTCTCGGCGGCGCTGCTCCGTGGCTGCGCGGGGCAGCAAGCGGAGGAGGACGGCTCGGACGCCCCGGCGGCGGCGACGGCAACGGCCCCCATGGAGGAGAAGGAGCGCAGGGCCCTGTACGCCGCCATCGAGAGCTTCGTCGGCATGGGGTGGAACGGCTCCAGGCTCTACCCCGACCCCTGCGGCTGGTCTCCCATCCAGGTGCGTCCCTGCCTTCCTGCCTGCGCTTTCCCTTTCGCATCAATCCATGCTGCTGTCTGTTTGATTTCCTGGCCCGCGTATGTTCATCATGTTCTTCAGATACATGAGAGAAGCTTTTCTCTTTGGTTGTTTTTTGGGCTTTGCCCGTCCTCGTCACATGCCCTTTCTTGGTGCTTGCCTGCTTTGAGCTCCAATCCAAAACCGTTTCCGAAAGGAGGATCAAGTCGGTAGTGTCCATAATGAAACTGGTGTCTTGTTTGGGGATGCAGGACGAGTCACCAACAATCTCTCGTCGATTTTTTCCATGTTTAAAACCTTCACAATCTCACTTGCAGAATTTCTGGATTTCGATAGCCTCTGTTCTTCACACTCGACCCTGTTCCTCACTGTTGCTTCAAGATTGTCGCACTGTTTTGTGGCGCGCAACTGCACATTCAGTTCACTGTTGGACGAGACCTCTGCTTGATCCCCTTGTGTCTTCACATCTCAGCCTTTACTTGATGTAGCAGGAGGAACTTTCCACTCACATGAAAGAATCTCCCATGATTTGAAATGGCATGTTCCCCTCAAGATTTTCTCATACAGTACCACTCTCTATTTTAGTAGTATCTGGTTCCTTTTGCTCGCGGACATGTTTTTTTTCCCCTTTCGCGAGAACGAATTCATTCCTGCTATTATGTTTGTACTCCATCTCCATAGAACTTTGCTCTAACAGTTAGTGAAATCACATGCCTATTTACCTTCACAGTACACTGAGATTTCAATTTGGTTGTTACTAGTAAAGTTAAGAAGGGGCCAAATTTGTAGGTGGACCTTTAAGAAATGTTACCATCTTGGATCATCCATGTCTGCTATTACTGCCAGTAGTTACCACTCCGGGCACTGTTCATCTTGTGTTACTTCCGTGTCTGCAAAATTCAATTCTATTTCTGTGGATTAACCAACTGGTTCTTGGATGCCAAAATCCGTGCAGGGGGTGTCATGTGATCTCTTCAATGGGCTGTGGTACCCAACAGTGATGAGCATTGGCCCAGTTCTTGACAACTCGCTGCGGTGCGCCCCTGACGCCAAGTTCAGCCCGCAGCTGTTCGACCTTCGGCGCCTCCGGACGCTGTCCTTCTACAGCTGCTTCCCGGCGAGCAACCCCACGGCCATCCCGACCGCCGGCTGGGAGAAGCTGTCGGGGACGCTGGAGACGCTCGAGTTCCGCACGAACCCGGGACTCACCGGCGGCATCCCGGCGTCCCTCGGCCGCTTGGCCAGCCTGCAGTCGCTGGTGCTCGTGGAGAACAACCTGACGGGGCCCGTGCCGGCCGAGCTGGGCGCGCTGTCGAGGCTGAGACGGCTGGTGCTGTCCGGGAACGGGCTGTCGGGGCCGATCCCGGCGATACTCGGTAATAACGACCACCGCCGCCGCCACGCCCATGACGAGATGTTGATCGTGGACCTGAGCAAGAACTCTCTAACCGGCTCTCTGCCTTCGTCGCTAGGTGGCCTCACGGGGCTCCTGAAGATGGACCTGAGCAACAACCTGTTGCAGGGCAGCATCCCGCCGGAGCTCGCGGGGCTGAAGAGCCTCACACTACTGGACCTCCGGAACAACAGCCTGACCGGCGGGCTGCCCTAGTTCGTGCAGGGCATGGCGTCGCTGCAAGACCTGCTGCTGTCGAACAACCCGCAGTTGGGCGGCGCGCTGCCGCAGTCCGGGTGGGAGACGCTGGTGGCGAACCTGGCCACTCTGGACCTGTCCAACGTTGGCCTCGTGGGAGCCATACCGGCGTCCATGGCGGCGCTGACGGGGCTCCGGTTCCTGGCGCTGGACCACAACCGCCTGACGGGCGCCGTGCCGCCCCAGCTCACCCAGCTGCCCAGCATCGGCGCGCTGTACCTCAACGGCAACAACCTGACGGGGGCGCTGCAGTTCTTGGCCGGCGGTTCGCGTCGTGGGACAACCCCGGGCTGTGCTACAACATCGCGGCCGTGGACGTGGCGCACGCGCCGTCGGGCATGGTCGTGTGCAAGGACCTGCAGGAGCCCAGCGTGGCGCGGGACGGGGAGGAGGGCGGGAGGAAGCCCGAGGCGAGCTCCAGCGTCGTGGCCTCGTCGTCGTCGTCCGGCCGGTCGGCTGCCAGGGTTCTTCAGGGAATGGCGGCTGCGGTTCTTGGATTGATGTCCCTCCTACTATAGCAAGCAAGCAGGTTCAGACACTTGATGAAATGGAAGAACATGGAGATGCTTGTAGTACTAGGTAGGTTAGCACGAACTAGTTTTGCGTGTTCTCTGATCTTTTGGCATTTTTTTGGCTGGTGGCTTTGCTTCTGCTGCGGTCATCGTCAGATGGGGAAACATGAATCTGGGTGGTGGCTGTGATCCAAATTACAGTAGAGGAAGTGAGTTCGATCTTGTGGACTGAAGGTGTGTAGTGGTGGATAGGGTGGCGGGTTCTCCGGGGGGGTATTTGTGTGTAATTAGCCTGTGTTGCCCTGTGGTGTTACGTTATGTTACCACAGGAAGTGGATATCTATCTATCTATCTGTATGTATCTGGAGCATTGCATTTTGCTCTCACGCTCAGTTGTACTCCTACCTGTGATGTGCTTGTTCGTCCGTTGTTGGAGAATCGTTAACAGAAAAATTGGCGTGCTTCATTCACACGGAATGACGGAAACAGTTTCCTGCTGTTGCACCGAATCCTTCATCCTTGTAACAGAATAATTGGAAAGATCTCTCGTTCTCTCCATTTGCTGGAGAGAGAACATTAGCGACGGTATCGGCAGACGGCAACACGCTTCGGCCGCGACACGGAAACAGAAGAAGAGGAGAGCGGGCAAGCAAGCAGGATGAAGCAGCGGCGGCGCTGTCTGCTGCCGGCGATCTTCTGTCTCTGCTGCTGTCTTTTGCGTGTTCTCGAGTATGAACCGTGACGCTGATTGCGCGGGACCCCGCGCGCTCAGACGAGCCAGAGAGAGAGAGACAGAAAGGACCTTGGAAAGCTGGGGGCCGGAGCCTGACGGACAGCCTGCACTCTGCGTCTCTGGCAGTGGCAGCGCTAGTAAAGTACTGGCGCTAGTCCACTCCTCTCCTCTAGAGAGGCTGGACTGGACCTGGACGTGCAGGAATTGGACTGTAGTGGTACTATACAGTGTGTACCGGTCTACTCCTATGCTAGGCCTTGTTTACTCCCCGTACCATCCAACGTTTGACACTTTAAATATAGATTAAAAAAATAATTAATTATATAGTCTGTGACTAATTTATAAGAAAATTTTTTAAGCATAATTATTCTATGATTTGATAATATGGTGCTACAGTAACACATGTGCTAATGATAGATTAATTAGACTTAATAAATTTGTCTCACGGATTACCGACGGATTCTATAATTTATTTTTTATTAGTATCCGAACACCCCATGCGACACCTCTATGTAACATCCGATATGACACCCCAAAACTTTATACTTTGAATTTAAACAAGGCTTGTGGTGTTTAAATCCAGAGAATAAAGTTTAGGAATGTCACATCGGGTGTCACATAAAAGTGTTCGGATAGTAATAATAAAATAAATTACAGAAGTCCTCAGTAATTCGCGGGGTGAATTTATTAAGCCTAATTAATCCATCATTAGCACATGTTTACTATAGCACCACATTGTCAAATCATGGACTAATTAGGTTTAAAAAATTCGTCTCGCAAATTAGTCATAATCTGTTAAATTAGTTATTTTTTAGTCTATATTTAATACTTCATGCATGTGTCTAAACATCCAATGTGATAGGGAGTAAACTTTAGGAGAGGAACTAAGGCCTTGTTTAAATACAGGGGTAAAGTTTTAGGGTGTCACATCGGATGTCGTATAGAGATGTCGCATAGGGTGTTCGGATACTAATAAAAAAATAAATTACAGAATCCATCAGTAATTCGCGAGATGAATTTATTAAGCCTAATTAATCTATCATTAGCACATACGTTCCTGTAGCACCACATTGTCAAATCGTGGACTAATTAGGCTTAAAAGATTCGTCTCGTAAATTAGTCGCAAACTATGCAATTAGTTATTTTTTAGTCTATATTTAATACTCCGTGTATGTGTCTAAATATTCAATGGGATAGAGACACGCCTTGTTTAGTTCATTCCCCTAAAGTTTACTCTATATCCTATTGAACGTTTGGACACATGCACGAAGTATTAAATATAGACTAAAAATAACTAATTACACAGTTTACGACGAATTTGCGAGACGAATCTTTTAAGCCTAATTAGTCCATGATTTAACAAATGTGGTGCTACAAGACCACATGTGATAATAACGGATTAACTAGGTTTAATAAATTCATCTCGCAGATTACTAATAGATTCTATAATTTATTTTTTTATTAATTCCTAAATAACCCATACAACACTCTCCTGTGACACTTAGTATGATACCTCAAAACTTAACAAAGCCTGGCACCAGCCTACTGGGCGCCGGCGCAGGCACAGGCGTACTAGCAGTATGGGCTTGGCCGCACAGCGCAGTACTAGCGCGGAGAAGCAATGGATGCTCTCGCCGAAAAACAACGGCACAGGCTCAGTGGCACAGGAATTATCGTTTCTAAACAGCAAATAGTTTTAGATTTAGTTAAAACTATATAAAACATATTAACATTAATGATACCGAATGAGTATAATGTGAACCCGCGCGCGCATTACTCAGTTTATCAGGTTTTTAGAATTTAACAACACTATTTTTAGACGACATGCCTTTGATCAGGATAGATCCTTATATAAAGATCCTTATATAATCTTTTGGAGATGATGTAGTACCAAGGTCTACGTGATTCATAGAGATGAGTGTATGGGAGTGGAGGTGCGCTCGGCTAGGCTAGCGTGGACAAAGGGGCACAAAAGCCCAGCTTGGCCAAAAGTGGTGACCGGTGAGCATTGCGGTGTCACAAGAGGAGAGAGAGAGAGAGAGAAAGGGTAAGCCATAAGCCCATCTCCATCTCATTCTCACGCCACACCACACTCTTGCCTGCCCCCGTCTCCAAGCAAAATTGCGCTTACATAGGGTTGTCTCGCCCTAAGCACTCTTTCGTCTTTCCTTTCTAGCCTCATGCACTTCTTTGCGGCTTTGGTGTCTCTCTTTCTTGGTTCATCTAATTCAAGACTTGTTTGGGTCCCATTCGTTTCCCAGGGAATGACCCTTAGGAAGAATTCCTGGCCAGAATCGTTACTTAGTTTATATAAGAATTCCATTGGTAGGAATGATTCCTGGTGTGATGTGCCGTAACTGAACGAGGTCTTGGTTAATCTTCGAACCGAGGGGATTGGAGGAGATTAAATACCCTATATAAGTCATGATCATCTTTTTTAATCTCGTCCATTCCCTACCAATCTCCTTGGTTTAATGATTAACCGAACAAGACCTCACATGTATTACATTGTTTTTACCTTGTTCTGGAATTGGAGGTTTTGTGTTTAGCAGTTCTACCGTATGTATTTCGTTCATTAGCTTGTCGCGTTTGTGATAACTGATGAAATGATGGATACACATCGTGGATTCAATGCCATGGGATCATAGTTTAGCACGTACGCTGTGGTGGTGCGGGTGCAGCTAGCCTATAAGCAGCCTGTTCGTTTCGGCTGAATTGGCTTATAAGCCATGACTGAAAGTACTGCTGGCTGGTTTGGTGTCAGAGAAAAATATTATTCGTTGACTGATAAGCTAAGACTTATAAGCCGAATACATGCTGCCAAACATGGCGAAGGCCATGCCCAACGCTCCTACGTGTCTCGTGGCTTCAAGTCTACCGGTCTGATGTATGAGAAAATTTGTTATGTGCCATTGAAATTTATACACATCTCTTCTATGCCATTGGAAATCATGACTTTCCTTCTATGCCATTGGTTTGTTTTGTTTCTCCCTTATTTGCCATTGCCGTTAGATACTATGCAGAATTACCGTTACCTGTTAACAGAGAGAGATAACATGCAGAATCACCGGCGGCTACGTGCTGGAACACGACACAGCGTCGGGTGGCTGCATGCTGGAACATGGCGCGGCGTCGGGCGTTTGCAAGATGGAGCATGGAAGAGCGGCATCAGCACACCAGGCCCCTTGTGTCTTGCATGCTCGCATCCAGCTGCAGATGAACGCAGGCGCAAGCAGGCCATGCAGCAGCAGGCTTTAGCTTCTCGGATAGCGACGGCGTGGCCGTGGCGTGACCCGTCTTCCACCACGCCCGCGCCCTCGCGCCATCCTCGCTGCCGCCAGCCCCATTACAGTGCCTGCTCCACTTTTGAAGCGCTCACCTTCCGCTGCGTTCGTGCCCTCGCCTGCGGGCTGCGGTGCAGCACGCATGCCCGTAGCTCCCTGCGCTGAGCCGCCCCTTCTCTGCCATCCTGCCACGCGGCCTGTTGCGGCGTCGAGCCGAGCACGACCGGCGACCGCGTATGCGCGGCGCCGCCGCATACCACAATAGATGACGTTCAAAGGTGCATGCACGCATATTTACCGGACCTGCTACACCCTACAACTATCGCGCGGCCTGCTAACGTGATGACCGGAACGGCCGGCTATTGCCTTCTATGCCACGAGCACAAGCAAGGCAAGCTTGTTTGCATGCCTCCTCCATCAGCCTGTTCGTTTATTGATTTCAGCCAGAGCTTATTAGCCAGCTAACAGTATTTTTTCCTCACAACAAACCAATATCAATCGGGCTTATCAGCCCAAAAACCGACCAGCGAACAGACCGCATATGTGCACAGGCACAGAAGCCAGGCGTTCAGGTGCATCGGAATAATTGATTGGGATTGATTTTTTGACGGCAACATTGATGTTTAATTTGTACTTATACTCCTCTGTTTTTTTACTTGCTTTCTGGATAATGAAATATCCCTTCTAAATCCATTTTAGCGGTAGTTCACTAGATTCCACCGCAGCGAATGACGCGTCCGCACGGGCCCTTTTCCGTGGCGTTTAATTCCTTTACTCATTCTCAAACTATTTCCTCCCTTCCGTGCTGTGCATGTATGTATTTTTAGACATGTTGGTCGGTTTCGTCCCGTAGTATTTGGCTGCTGCACTTGTCGGAACGTTTCTTTTTTCTGCCTTTTTTTTTCTTTCTACCATTTTTTCTCCTTTTTTTGTTACATATTTATAGGTTATACTATATAATTATTTCATACATAGTTTCATATTTCTGC